AATTCGGCCAGTCATTCGCCGGATCCAACCGCCATTTGGGAGGACCTCCGCCACAGGCCAGTCTTCCTCCGAGAGAACGAAGCGGCGAGGCAGGGCTGCAAACAGGGCTAGCTGCTGCGGATTCCTAGATGGAATCAGCGCTGAATCCACCTGTCGGTCTAGAACTTGGTTGTTCTTCCGTTGCCAACTATATATGGTGAAGGTGGGCACGGAAGAACGTGTGGATGCTTTGATCGGTAGCTCTGCCCATGCTCGGTCGCCGTCGTTCAGCTCTCTGCTGAGGCCAAAGCCTGTTTGCAGTGCAGTGTGATTCCGGCCAGCTTCAAGTCTGGCACCACGAGGTCCCCAAGATCCTTAGGCCGGCAGCAGACTGTACGTATGACAGGCCCAAATAAAGCTATGGCTTTCTAACAAGACGGTACATACAAGTTGTAATATTGTTAATTTGTTATTACAGGCCTAACCGGCAGAGACGGCCCAACCCACGCTGTTACGGGCCGGACTAGACTAGCGTTGGGAGGTTCCGACGGTTAATGGGTTATATGTATCTTCCAGCTTGCCGTGAGTCTTTTTTTTTTGACACAAGACTTGAGTGTTGAAGCAAGTTAATTAAAACAATGGACCACATGTTATAGCTTTTCCTTTGGACGTGGCTAGGGCCTTGTTTAGATTGTGAATAATTTCAACCCGATGAATAGTAGCACTTTCGTCTTATTTGGTAAATATTGTCTAATCGTGGACCAACTAGGCTCAAAAGATTCATCTCGTGATTTTCAACTAAACTGTGTAATTAGTTTTTTTTTTTACCTATATTTAATACTCCATGCAAGCGTCCAAAAATTGATGTGATGGAGAGAGAGTGAAAAAACTTGGAATTTTGATGTAAACTAAACAAGGCCTAGCACCCGAATATCTGGACACTGACGCCAGCGCCTGCTGCTCCATTTCCTCCGACGCTCCCGTCTGGGAACCTCTGCGCCTGCATGCACGCGGGGGCCGCGCGTCCCTGCCTCCATCCCCTGGCGTTGCGTTCGGATGGCCGCCGACCGTACCGAATTTTTTAATTTTTTTAGCTCTTTTTTTTTGAAAAAATTTCACAAATATGTCTCTAGAGCTAAGATTTCAAAATCTGGACCCTTAACTCGGCGCCATTGTTGCTGGCGCCGAGCTTATACTGCTCGGCGTCATCGTTGCTGGCACCGAGCTCTTGAGCTCGACGCTGACGTGCCGATGATTTAACAGGCAGCTTGACGCCGTAGATCTTGACGCCGAGCTCGATGTCGTGGTTACTGGCAAGGTGATGACTCAGCTCGACTCCGATCCATCGGCCGGTGGGCGAGCGAGAGTACAGACGTGTCAGTCGCGTTTGCAGCTAGTACCTAGCAACATGCATGGCCTTGCTGCTAGTGCTAGCTAGATCGAGCTAGACCGCCGCGCTGGCTGGCTCGGCCTCGGCAAGGCCACTTGCGCAGCCGCGCGGGGCAGCCGTGCCTGCTCAGGTGTCGACGTGCCGTTCTCGTTGCCGGTGCACTGCACTGCCGGGTCGGCGCACACTTTGTTATAATCTATAATGCGCTGCCAGGTCTACCTTTTCTCTTTATTAAAAAAATAAAAATATGTTGCCCCGACCGTGCATCATGCATCCTACCCCTACTAGTTTCGACGCCGACCAGCGCGCCTCTCGTCTCGTCCGGAAAAGTCAAGAACGCTAGCTAGTTCTACTCAGCAAGTCAAACTGCCCTGCAAGTTCAGAGGGCCGAGAGATGTGTCCTGTCCTCATCTCTGAAACACGCGCTGCTTTCCGTCAGGACGAGCGTGCACCACTCTGGGTTCAATTACGACGATTAATCAAATGCTATCATCGTATATATGCATGATGGCTTAGCTTACCAGTATCAGTTTCCATACATATCTTATTCCTACATCAACGATGTCCAATCTAGTATTGATAAAGGGTCAATGAGACTATGTTCAGTCATATTTGTTAGTTTTCTTTGAATCTTGGTTGTTCATGTGTTATCGTTTCTTCGAACCGAGGGGATTCCCCATTTATCAAAACAGAAATACATGAGTGTTAGAATGTTCATGTGTTATCAGTGAAAGCGGTTGGTTGGTCTTCGATTCCACGATTTCAACATCTTATATTGATTTGTTCTGCGTCACGATCTGATTTCCCCAGCATTTTTTTCTATGGTGAAATATTGTAAATTTGAGTTTCTTGAGCTATTTTTTACACGTTCTTTTAACGGGTACTAGGCTGTCCTTTTAGAGGGTACTAGCCTCATTTGAACTTATCAGTCCGCTTATCAATCATGGTACAATATATTTTTCTCTTATAATAAAACAGCATAAGTCAATTTATCAGCCGCAAAAACAATCAGCTGAACACAGCCTCATGTTTTTGTGGTCTTTAAAGTCTTGTGTTATCGTAGTGCATGTATGTGTCGCTTCATTTGCTTTTTTTTCAGTACGATTTACAAGCTCTAGTGGACGCTTCAGTTTTTTATGGACTCTTATTTTATTTTAGTAGAGGTCCGATCCGTTTTAATTTGTGTTGAAGTTGTACTTGTCGCTAGTCACTAGCTACTTGTACCGACTTGTTTTGAGTGATTTCTTTTCGTGCGACGACGAACAAGGCTAGTAATTTTGTGATCCCGCGAGAAGCAGCCGGCAAGCGTCCGTTTTCCATGTACCGTCGACGTGTCGCTGTCGTGTTCCGCTCCACCGGGACTACAGGGCCAACCTGGACCCCGCGTGAACCTCACGTGGACGCGCATGCATGCACAGTCGATCGACGCAGCACCCCGGGCGGTCGCGTTCACTGTAACAAGCTAGCTGCCTAAAGGCGATCGCGACGACGCGTCGGACGGACGGCCGGCGGCCTGGTCTAGCTAGCTAGCTAGCTAGCTCGTTCGTAGCTAGCTAGCACGCACAGAGCGCAGGCGCATGCAGCATGCAGCATGCAGCTCCCCTCTGCTAGCTAATTAAGCTAGGGATGGATCGACGTGAAGATCCCCCTCTGCTAGCTAATTAAGCTAGGGATGGATCGACGTGAAGATCCCCCTCTGCTAGCTAATTAAGCTAGGGATGGATCGACGTGAAGATCCTGACATATAGATGCATTGTCGTGTGCATGCGTACGTGTTGCGTTACACGTACACCGTGCCTGGCGTGTGCGCCGACCCGGCAGTGCAGGGCACCGGCAACGAGAACGGCACGTCGACACCTGAGCAGGCACGGCTGCCCACGCACGTGGCCTTGCCGAGGCCGAGCCAGCCAGCGCGGCGGTCTAGCTCGATTAAGCTAGCACTAGCAGCAAGGCCATGCATGTTGCTAGGTACTAGCTGCAAACGCGACTGACACGTCTGTACTCTCGCGCGCCCACCGGCCGATGGATCGGAGTCGAGCTGAGTCATAACCACGGTGCCGAGCTCGACGCCGAGCTGCCTGTCAAATCGTCGTAACATCAGCGTCGAGATCAAGAGCTCGGCGCCAGTAACGATGGTGTCGAGTTAAGAGTTCAGATTTTGAAATCTTAACTCCAGGAACATATTTGTGAAATTTTTTAAAAAACAAAGCTAAAAATAAAAAATTCGGCCAACCATAGCTCCACGCGCTCTCCGGCAACCGCTCCGCTGTGGCAGGCTGGAGGCCGCTCACGCCGGTGCGTGCGGCCACAACCATGGAGGAGGTGCAGGCCGAAGCTGAGGGGGAAGCCTTCTCACTTCTCAGAGGATCTGATGTTCTTCGTGGCAACCTATCTTTCAGTTAAAACATATACAACACCAGATCTATTTTTACAACGTCCAGACAAAACACTTGCAACATACGTCTGAAAAACAGATAGAACACTTGAAACTATGCTTGAAACATGCGTGTATAACCATAGCAACATATGCAACATCCAAATCTACTTTTACAACATCTTGATGAAACACTTGCAACATACGTTTAAACGCCTGAAACAGTTGAAACATACGCTTGAAACATCCGTGTATAGCCATAACAATATGTGCAACTTTCAAATTAAACACTTGAAACATACGACATCTGAAACACCAGAAACACTTGAAACATAGACTTGCAACATACATATATAGCCATTGCAACATGTGCAACATCACAGATCTACTTTTGCAATATCGAAATTAAACACTTGAAATGTAAGTCTGAAACATCTGGAACACTTGAAACACGGTGTTGCCAGCGGCCACGGCCTACCTAGTGAGGAACTGCGCTAGCTAGCAAGCTCGGGTCATGGGAGACGTCGAGAACAACGGCCCAGCATACACCCAGGCGTAGGCGCAGGCCTCTCCTTCCTCCCGTGGTGTCTTCAGTTGGCCACGAAAGACGATGTCTGGACCGACGACGACCTCCTACTGGTGCCGCCGGGGTGGTGGTGGTGCGGTGAACATTGTGGGCGCAGCGTGGGATGCGGCGCAGCGTGGCGAGGGACGGGGCGAAGGATGGGGGCGCGCAACGAGGGATGGCTGCGGCGGCCAGGTGGAGTAGGGCGGGCGGATGGCGGCACGACACGGTGAAGCCACAACGGCGCGAGGCGGAGTGGGAAGCCGTGTCCAGACGGGACGGACGTCCACGCCTAAGCGTTTCCGTTTTCCTCATGATGAAATCATGACTCTTCATATTACATTTTGAAACTGGAAGAGTATGTATAAGCAACACAAGTATTAAAAAGAGGGGCAGGCCAGTAGATTTATATGTTTGAAGAATTGCTAGCAATCGATGACAATTAAGGCCAATGAGTCAATGACCAGTTGATGACATAAACAAATGATCAATCTCAAATGCAATTGAACAACATACACTACAGTAACATCAAACACGTACGCACGCGTCACGATTCACCCCTCCTGTGAACTGAACATCACACTAGACATGCACATCGACAGTTATATATCTACGTGATTATCTTATATTATAAGCAAATTAAACCGCTGTTTAATTTGTGCGTACCGCACCCTGGTGCTTAAGCTTAATGCTTACGGCGCGCCTTCGCTCAGGCTCGCGGTGGCGGCGCCGTGGCCGGTGTCCGCGTCCGTGGGGGCGGCGGAGGCGGGGGCGGCGTCGACGACGTTGAAGGGCTCCCAGTGCGGCATGGTGTCGCTGAAGAACCTGCCGACGACGCGCGCCTCCAGGACGGCGATGGCGTCGGGGTGCTTGATGCAGCGGGGCGTCTTGTACTGGTTCACCGACGACCCGTGGGAGACGCAGAGGTCCATGAGCGCGTCGAAGGCGCCGGGGGACACCACGCGGATCTCCAGCGGTCCCACGGACCGGTCGCGGCTCCGGCACCGCCGGTACACGGCGTCAAGGCCGGCCTCCACCTCGGCGCAGCATGCCTCCATGACGCGGTGGACCACGGCTTCGTCGCTGTCGGCGGCCGGCGGCGTGAGCTCCCAGAAGAGCACGTAGTGGCCCGGGATGGAGGACGTGTCGGCGTAGGCGGTGTACTCGGAGAGGATGGTGGCGCCGCCCAGCGGCGCCAGGAGGCGCTTGGCGGCCGTGACGGCGCGGAGGAGGTCGTCCTCGGAGGTCTTGTCGGTGTCCACGCTGAGAACCACGTTGCGGCGGTGCACGAACCGGAACTGTGGCGCCGCGTTGTGGAAGCCTGACACCTGCAGGATGTCGCCCACGCGGTACCGGTACAGACCTGCATGCACCACCACGTCCAAATTCACTTCTAAAATTAATATCTTTCCCTGATACTCATAGATGAATTTATTATAAATCCCACATATGATATTTTGAAGAAAAAAAACAAGATGAACTATATTTAATTTTCATATTTCAAAACTATTTTTTTATCTAAAATTATTGATAGTTGGATTTGGACCAAATGTTGCCCAAACATTTTGTATGACCCAAAGAAGTATTATTTGAAGGAAACTAACCAAAATTAACTCAAACTATAAAGTGTTTGTAATCTATAATAATAAAGGCAGTGGCGAAGGAAGGGGGCTGAGGTGGGCCTGGCACCCTTGACCCACACATTCCTATCTCTCTCACAGTGCACCCTTCAATTAGCTACTTATTAATAGTTCGATTATCTAGTTAAATAATGTTATTTCTGTTTGATTTACTGTCCTCTCTTTATATTAATTTGTAATAGCATCTTATATAACTAAAAAAAGTCTTCCTATTATTTTCTCCATCTCTTTTGTTCTTTTTATTGGTGCATACCAATCGTCTAGTTCTTCACCACAGTACACATTGTAATTGGTGTTTTGCTTGTTTGCTCCCTCTGAATGGATCGCCAATGGCATCTATATTATTTAGGATTAGTCTTCATGTTATCTTCATTATCTCTTTCGTCCCTATTATTACAGTGATATTGTAACACAAACATTCATTTGGTTGTTATGTATATTCTTGCCAACTTGTCGTGCATATATTTGTTACGCATGATTGTTATCAGTTTGAACGGCTCCTGTAATCTTTAAATCCTGGCACCACCCCTGGATAAAGGAATAGATAATGTTCCTTTTTATATTACCAACGCAAGTTGTTTGTTAAAAGAAAATTTTAAGATGACTCCAATGGTTGGGGGGCACGTCTCTAGCCATGCATGCTACAAATGCAATAATGGTACTTTGACTATATGTGCCCCCACTAGCACACTTCCGTAGAGCATTTCCACATGCAGTGGCTATATATGTTGATTCGTTGCATTGATCACTTTCTCTTCAGGAGCATAGTTTAAGGTTTCAACCATCAAATGATGAGGAAAGTTCATTTTATTCATGGAAATGCAAGACTGTATGAAGCTGAAAATTAAAGGTTGTGGGGGGTTGAGATGGAGGCCGCATTGGCTGGATATCATTCTTTTACATATCACATCATATCTGCTTCTATAGTTCTTGTGGCATGTACATTAATTATTAGCCTTTTGTTTTTAGTAGCATATTACTACTGCTACAGGAGGTGAATTGTATTCTTGTTCTGTATTCCATCATGTTCAGAAGAGACTAGCATTTACATCAACATCTCTAGATGCATAGTTAATTTCTTTTCAAAAAATAGTAGTAAAAATGTATTTTTTAAGATTTTCCATAAGAGGCAATAGTAAACAAATATCTCATTGGTACTTGGAGGAATAAATAAAATACTATTTACTGATTTGGAGGAAAAGGAACCTTTAATTTACCCCCCAGCATGAAGTGGACAGGTCTGCCCTGACCTTTCTTATCAACTACCTAATAAAATGAGTCTATCAATATCTCCTTGTCTGGTGAAAGTGGGTGTACTGCCCATGCAAACACGAAAGCTAGGCCTTGTTTAGATTGCAAATTTTTGTAACCTGGACATTGTAGCATGTTTTGTTTGTATTTGACAAACTTTGTTCGATCATGGACTAACTAGGCTTAAAAGATTCGTCTCGTGATTTACAACCAAACTGTGTAATTAGTTATTTTTTTACCTACATTTAATGCTCCATGCATACGTCTAAAAATTGATGTGATGGAGAGAGAGTGAAAAAATTTAGAATTTGGATGCAATCTAAACAAGGCCCTAGCTAGGAGGCAAAGTTATTTTACCTTTAGGGTTAGTGTACTGTCAATGATAGTTTGGTGAACGTGATTGTACACTGTCAATAAGATAAAGCTAGTGGGAGACTGGGCGTCAAGAAATTGACACCCCATGGCCAACTGGGAGATCCCAAACAATAACCACCCATACATAAATTATCTTTTCTAATGCACAAGAAACACATTTGGTAAATTTAAAATATATATGATTGATTTATTTCCTTGCTTCTAAAAAAATGGATATTTTGTGGTAAGATAATCATGAATGCATACACCGCTTAAATTGATACGAAAGCTTTGCCTTTTGCACTCATGCATTATCATTGACTTATTGCTTAATTATGAAAATACGAGAGTAAAGAAACATAATTGAGATGTATTTTAAATATGCAGCCAGTTAGTACACTATGGCTGAGGGAAGCAAGACTCACTTCTGTCCACCAGTAGAGCAACACAAAGAGTAGACCGCAAAAGCCAAATAAACTGATAGAAAACAAAAGGCACTCATCTTTTCAACCAAGACTCCTACAACACTACGTATCTTTGACATACAGATAACCACCATGGTATCACATCCAAGAAATTCATCAACATGCATTGATGCACATTAATTTCATTTTCAGCCAAAAGATAGAGTACGTAGCCCCAAATTCAGTTATATAAACAGGCACCAAGTCATTTCAAGAAAGCGATTGCTTAAAAACACTCCGGTGTTTCTTACACACTTCAAATGGGGGCAAGGCCTTCGTTTGGCAAAGCAGTTTGTTTTGGGGCTGCATTGTGGTAAGATAGATTGCCATCAGCCTGTTCGGGAGGCCGTATCGTATCGTGGATTATTTACTGCTGGCTGGTTTGGTGTGAGAGAAAAATAATGTTCCCGGCTGGAAATTTACGATCGTTTACGTGCAAGCGAACAGGCTTTTTTGAATTAAGTATGGGGTGCCTAAACCCACCCTCCCCCGTCCATGGCAAAATGTGTAGTGCAAACCCATATATAGGTGGAAACATGGAGACTTATTTTTAAAAAATATAAAAATATATACTTCTGTCACTTGCAAAATTTTGAAACGATGCACATTCATATTGTATCTATATGTGGTTTGTTGAAAAAGTTAAGATTCAAACTCATTTTATAAAAACTCACACAAAAATTACAAATTCAGGCATATGTCAACTAAAAGACAAATCCCTACAAGTTTCGTCTTCTAGTGTACATATACTCTTATTTTTTCACTTTGCACTAACTTTCCTAGATTGAATTTGAATCCCAACTTTTAACCAAAAAAAAAAACAAACATATATGGATACACAGTAGATGTGCATCGTTTTTAAAAACTTAAGCAATAAAAGTATGTTTTTTAAATGAGTTTGCACGTAGAACTGTGTCTATCATAGATGGGACCACATACTAAGTTTTTGTGGTATGCAAAAACTCTAGCATGCATAAAACCAGAAACTTGCCTGAGAGTATCCTCAACACTACGAGACAACAGCTAGCTTCATGTTACTGTTACTTCATTACATGAACCCCACGTGTAAATAATGTTTTTATTCTACATCTTGTTCTTTCCTTCTCCCTTGGTTTATGAGCAAGCCCACAAACAGCCTCTAGTCTGCACAAGATAGGTACGGTGTGGATATAAGACCCTTTTATTTTCTATATCTTCACCTTATTCCGATAAGTAAAATGTTGACATGGATTTTTACGAGCTAGCTGAAGCAGCACCGTTAGAGACACCCTAATAAGCCAATCAAACCTCCTTGCGTTGCCCAAGGCATGTACTAGTGGAGATATATTTAGTATACAATATATATTTAGTTGTTATTCCAACTATAAATTCCTAATTTGACGCTGGCTCATGCTGTCTCCGCCGTTGATTTGGCACCATCGGACGGCCTTGAACGAGTTCAATTTTCTAACAACCCCCAGTCAACTCCAGTGCATCGTGAATGAATTACATACTTCTTGTGAACGGTACTAGCTACGAAGAAGCGAAGGAAGCAAGAGTGCGTACATGCATCCAGCCATGAGCCATACACACGCAGCATGCTAAATTGCTAATGGAAAATAAATGTGCACGTACGGTGGCTCACCTGTGAACGTGGTGACAAGGAGCTCGTAGTAGCCTCCGACCTCGACGTCGACAAGGTCCACGACCTTCCCGTCCCGAGCCTCCTCGCCGTCCTTCTCCACCTTGATGAACTCGTAGTAGCACATGTTGGGCATCAGCGTATAGGCCACGTCCTCCGGCCGGTCCAGCGGCCGGAGGTTGATGCCGAAGTAGCACTCCGACGAGGCGTACATGGTGGACACCAGCGGCAGGCCGCCGCCGTAGAACTCCAGCAGCGGTATGTACTGCGCCATGGACCCCGTCACGATGACGTCGATATACTTGGTCCGCGGCCAGAGCCGGCGCACGATGCCCCGCCACGACCCCTCGCCCTCGCACTCGGCGGCGATGGCGTCGGCCAGCGCCGGGTCCGGCCGCGCCACGACCCTGGCGACGGCGTCCCGGCAGGCGGGGTCGGTGACGCGCGCCGCGTCGACGCGGCCGGCGCGGATGTCGTCGCAGAGCGCGCGCCAGTGGACCTCGAGGAACTTGACGGAGCGCAGGAAGGCGGAGGCGAAGACGGCGCCGACGCGGAGCACCTCGCCGCGTCGGGCCAGGCCGCACAGCAGCTGCGCGTACATGCTCTGCGCGCTGTCCGGGCACAGGATCGCCTCGTTCGGGCTCGTGTACCGCGTGTACGGGCTGTCCGGCCGCTCCCGGAAGTGCCGGCTCTTGTAGTAGCTCGTCAGCACCGGCCGCGCCACCAGCCCCGACGCCGTCCTGATCTCCGGCTTCACGAACAGCAGGTACATGCACCGCCCTTTGTCCAGACCTTCCACGTACTTGTTCATTACGGGGACGAGGAGGTTGTAGAGGAAGGTCTTGCGGTCCAGCTCCTCCTCTGTGGACGGCATCAGCTTCGGCTGCCCGCCGGATGTGCCGGAGCTGACGAGGACCGCCGTGAGTGGCCGAAATTCCGACGATGATTTACTAGAAACACGGTGTGCAACAGTAGTGTGTACCTTGTGAGGAGCTCGGTGATGGTCTTGAAGGAGATGAGCGACGAGGGGGCGCCGTTGGCGATGCGCTCGATGAACGGCTTGACGTCCTCGTACTCCACGACCGGCACGCGCTCCTTGAACGTGGCCGCGAGCTCGTCGGCGTGGCGTCCCTCGGCCGAGTCGTCGGAGGCGCCAAGGAAGCCGCGGAGGTAGTCCGTGCCGGCGTTCATGGCGAGGATCTCTCTGAGGACGCGCTGCTGGATGGCGCCAGCGTGGGTGGTCAGGTCCTCGATGAGCTGCAGGCTCGCTGTCCCGTCGTGCGGGTCGCACGCCGGGATCGTAGGCGGCAGAGACGGCCGCGGTGGCATTGCCGGTGCCGGCGAGTCTGTGGAGGTGGATGAGACTGAGGAGACGAGGTGGTGGTGACCATGGTCATGGTCGAGCACTGCAGGGGACGTGGACATCGTCGTGGTTGACATTGTTAGATCCATGCATGCGTGCACTCTCTGTGCCGCCAGGGCATGGAGAGCGAGGCTTCTGCACTGATGCCTTGTTCTTGTGCAGGTACAGCTACTGTTTGTTGCAGAGGTGAAATCCTCTTGCTCTCCATGTCCTATATATATCTCATCACACGTCTATGTGTGTGGTGTGTGTAGAGAGAGAGAGAGAGAGAGAGGTGTTGTCTGATATTTTAGAGGGAGAGTGAGTGTAGAAGTATGCTGTGACTGTGAGTGATTTGTTTGAGAGTGAGTGGGAGGGGATACAGTGCAGTGCAGAGAAGCTAGCTGTGAGTGATTTCTTATGATCTTTTTCTTTTTTCCTCTGTAGTGCAAGTGCAACAAATTTATGGGGAAGAGAGCACAGGGCAGTGTGCAAGTCATTTGTGTCAATGGCCTACACATGTGGCCATGTCTTGGAGCTTGTGATTAGATGCATCTATTATGGGTCAAAGCTTCATATGGCTGCCTCCTCAACTTTGGTGTCCCTTTTATGTTTTCTGCAATTGTCTGTGTTCTTCTTGGCAGACACAGCCAAAGTTCTTATCAGATGAGTCACCTGATTTCAGTAAAAGATGGATCACTTATATAGACAGAAGGTGGAAGGTACCACCTTTTCTTGTCTCCTAAGGGTAGTGATATTCATGCGTACATTCGTTCACACTGATAGTTTTTTTTAATGAAACACACGTATAGTTTAATTGTTCTGAATTTTGCATGAACTGAGCTGTTAGTCGTTAGGGGACAACTGTTGGAAAAATTACTTATGGTTTATCACACTTTACAAAAAGTAGATCTATCATATATACTGAAAACAAATATGTAAATAAATGAAACTGAGGCTTCTCAATTTCAAGAAAATCTAGGTAGCTGGGTCCACTGATCAATCAGATCCCTTATCCTGTACAAACACAGGAACATGATTCATTTCTAGTTTATCTGTGTATGCATCTGAAATTTAGAGCTTTGCCCTTCTTTAGCTGGCCTTCTGACAACTGCGATTCTAGTGAGAAATAAGTGAGATTTTCTTCGATGCCCTTCCAGGTGTAGAATAATAAAGCCAATTGATTCCTTGACCAATCTGGGTAGAACTGTTACCTTGATCAGCAATATCAATTTTTTTGTTGGATGGCCATGTCACCAGGAATGTACTGACCATGTTGTCAAGAACTATTATATGCACTGCTAATCTTGTATGATGCTTTTGTTTAGTTTCTTGTTTCCTGCTTGCACTATCAGTGTTTAGGCGACAAATGAACTGCTTAAGGTTGCGATCGACACAATAATAATCTGAACTGATCACAAACAAAGCCTGACTTTGACAGAAATATTTACATGCAAAAAAATAAGCGGATTAGTACCATTTCTGACCTTCCAATGACCTATTCTCTGGGGCTATTTTAATGCCTGAAATGTGTCTCTTCTGGTTGATGCTATGTGGGTTCCTGTCATGAAAACATTTTAGAATGTTAAGCTGACCTTTTGGAACATCTTAATTCCAGTCAAGGCTCAGAAGTAGAATGACACACATGGCTAGTCTCTTAGTCCTAACTGTCTCACTTTTGCTGGGGATTAAATATGAACCTAATCATCGATGCCCACAAGCACATTCAGATCCCACTGCATCATGTATAAAATAAAAAAATATATATATCAGAATGGGGTTAAACTACATGCTCCCTGCACTGTTACATCATTTGATAACTTTGGTTGATTCTTTATTTGTGAAATCTGTTAAATCAGATGTGAGGTGATTTATTTAGTCAGTGCGGACAGCTAGAAGATTTAGAGAGATCATGAGGTCAGGTTTGCGCCAGCTGTCCACATAAACAAACTTAAAAATTTGTCATGCTTCCATGAGAAAGATCTGGGATTGCTAGCCATGTCAAGCTGATCAAATTGGCATCACAAACTGTGCCTACTTTCATCAAAATTGTTCATTTTTTCATGTTTTCCTAATCAACTTGTTGCTCTGATATTAATTCAAAGACACAGTTGTTAACAGGTATCAGATAACAAAGCAACTGTGCTGGTTGTAGCAGTCAAACGCTCTGTGTGACAAGATGTTGATACAACTGTACGCACTCGTGTCCTTAGAGCCCTACTGGGCACTGAAATTTCCAGCCAATTGTTTGTCCAACTAGTTTGGCAATTGGCTTTGACGTTGGCATCCAAGAGCAGCATGTTTGGAAATTTCCAGGAGTTTTCTATTTCATACTTGAACTGATTCTTGATTTTTTTTTTCTAGCAAAACCCTTCATAGTTCATACAGACAAGTGACAAGGAGAACTTGGGTGTGTATTTTTCAGGTTGCATTGGTGACATATGGAAAGTTTCGTGAAAAAAAGAAACATGATCATGGCTAGATCATGACAAATTCAAAGATATAGTGTATATCACAATATAACTCTTAACCCCAATAATAGGTGTTTTCCAGATGAGGCGCCTTAAATTGTGACTGTTGTTTTTATAGATCCAGAAGTCTTTTCCGTAACCAACCATATCCAAGTGGGCTTTGCAGAGGCTTGTCTGCTACCTAATAGGTTTTTCTTTATAGAGGGCTTCATAGGTTACCTGTTTTCAACTCATTTCATAGCCCTGCAATGCAGACTGGATTCTTGGTTCTTACAGAGTGCCACCTGACATCAGCGAACTTCTGCACATTGTGCATTATGCGACTTGTTATTTTTATTACCTGGATAATTACACCAAATAATTTTCTCTTCGTAAAAATTTCTACTCTGAATTGCAAAACAGGATATGGTGGTTACCTACACTGGAAAGAGAACTAATGCAGTCACTGAGAAGTAAATAATTGGTCCAGTCCAAATACATGCATGTGTCATGTTTATATTGTTTATTTATTACTTAATTAACACGACAATTCTCACAGTAATGGGAAAGACAGATTTGTAGTTTAGTGGATATAGATCAATAAAATCTGGATCTGCTAGATTTAGTGACTCACATGTTGAAATAACTAATATCAATAAAAAATATGAAATGGATTTTTTTTTTTGGAAATAGTTAAATACAAGAGAAATGCTTCATGCATAATTTGAAGGAGACAAAGATCCTTGAAAAAAGCAGGAAAGGAGGAGGAAAACAAGGAACAACAACCAACTGTTCCTGGAGCGGTTGGTTTGATGTACTAAGGCCCCGTTTGGCAGGGCTTCACTTCACTAGTGAAGCCATTTTTTTGGCTTCAGCTCCACGAACAGCTCCACCGGTGGAGCTGAAGCGGTTTTGGTAAACCGTTTGGCAAAATGGCTTCCCTATGAGAGCATGTTTTTAGGGGCCTGGAGGAGAAGCCGGGAGAAGCCACTATTTTTGGCTCCTTCCCACCCCAAAGCTCTGTAAGAGCACGTTTTTAGGGGCTTCATCGGTGGAGCCGTTTCATTTTACCCCGTTTGGCAGAAAACGGCTCCAAACGGCTCTTGAAGCCGCTGGAGAAGCCCTGCCAAACGAGGCCTAAGTGCCAAAACAATGTATTAGCTAGTCACTGTTCTTTCATATTCACAACACACATGCATAATAGAGAACCTGCATGGTCACGAAGTCCAGGAAGCAAACTAATTAACAGAATAGATACATAACCATGATCGATATTTTTTTAATTAGTAAATCAATCCTATTGTGATGACTTGACCTGGTGAGTGATGACACATAATGGCTTGGTCAATGGTATCTTTTACAAAGAAAATTGCATGATATAATTTTAGTTCCTTTATAACCACTTTTATCTTGTTGGTTCTAACAAAAGTCAATAGTTATCAAATATTGGTCTATTTCCTGTTGGTGGTGCAGTTCCTTTTACCTCAAATAGGTTGCTCCAAATAGACATCTAACATCTTGGTGTTTTTCATTCCCTTGACGTGACAAGAGACACTAATTTGAATTTTGACCAAGAAAATATTAATTATTTTTTGCAATTGGTTCATTCCTAGCTAGCTAGTTGAACCCCAGGTACACACAAGTGTAGAAAATTAAAGCATATGAGACCGTCAGCTTCTTAAAATTGGTCTTAATGTAAATTAAAATATGTTGCCCAGACATAACAAAGATGAAAATCACTAAATTGGCCCTTTAATTTGCATTGAAAATGGCCTGTTTCTCATTACAAAAAGATAAAGATCTTGAGAAAGTTGAGGCCTCATAGGGATCATAGGAATTTTCATATAAATTTTGGACAAGTGGAATCACGGGGGGGGGGGGGATTTTCTATATAACCTTCAGAGCAAAGGATTGGGTTTGCACTTGCAGAATTTTTAGGAACTGCTTAATCCACAGAAATTTTAGCATTCATAGATCCTGTAATTGATCCCCCCTTGTCTATTTTACTTGTTCTATCTTTCATTTGAAGCCTCCAAAGAAACATCTTTTTTGTTGAACATTCCTATGTTCTCTGTTCTTGTATGACAGCACTGGCATACAATGTGACTCAAGTGTGTACACTGCTCTTATATTTTTCTTCCCCTTCATTTCAAAAGGGCCCTATAGTTTGGCTAATTTACTCCAATTGAACAGGAACACAGACTTTTAAACTTTCACTGAAACTGCACTACCTCAACACCTTCTTCTAACGAGTTAGCAAAATGATCATCCATGCGACCGTGAAAATGTTGTGGATTCTGAGTTGTCATAATTGAGGACCAGCACCATATGATAATTGAAACCTCATCGCAGAACCAGAAGTTCAATTGTAAGCACCAATCATCATTTTGCGTGGTCAAACCATCACTCAAGAGATCCAGTAATATACCAAGCTACCCAAAAAAAAACGTTCTTATGATTGTCCATAGATCTTCTTGTGATCGCGTCATCGTTATACTCTATTGACATATGGCACCAGGATAATAGCTCTTAGGAAACCACTTGGCACTTTGTGGTGGCTATATGTGATGATCCTTGACCAATGATAATAATGTTAACACCCTCCAATGTCACATAGATACATAGACCACAGG